GGGGGGGGCACTGCCAAAGTCTTCTTCTTATATTTTTCATTTTCTAGACAAACTGCTCCACAGCTGCAGACCTGGGTCTTGAGATTTGCTTAAAGCAGATTAGTTTCCAGATGGGTGGTGTTTTATTCACAGATCAGTCGACTACGGGTTTGAGGAAAATCTTAATAAGTGTTTTAAAGTCGAATTAGGCCTCAAATAAAACTGACTTTGATACCTGTGTCACACTATTTGAAACATCTGCATGCACTGTGTAAATCCCACCCACCTGACCCACTGAGCTTTTTAAAACAAATTTAGTTTCGACATTTTGAGATTTCAGAGAATGTAAATTCCTCTGAATGATACTGAAGAGGTCCGAATGTTTTGCAAAAACAAAACAAACCTGGAAAACACTAAATGCTTCTTCAGAATTTTTCCAGGTCTACGTCCTGATCAGAGCGTCTCGACCCAGGTCTGCACTTCACCGTCCTCTGGCAACACAAGATGCTAAAACTTGGGCTGGTAAAGCGCCACACGCCCACTGAGGCAGCCCGAGGCCAGCTGGCAGTGTGTCGGGGAGAACTTGGTGGTGAGCACCACGTCGCTGTGCGAGTAGATGGAGCGGATCTCTCTGAGGCAGCTGGTCTGGACGGGCAGGCAGTCCACAAGCTCGCCGCAGCGCTCGTCGAAGGCAAGCAGGCGGACGCCGTAGCCGTACGGCGAGCAGATGAGCCGTCCGTCTGGGCTGAAACACAACTCCTTGATGTAGCCCCGCCCCACGTTGGCCTCCTCGATGTAGTGGGTGAGACGGAGCGAGCAGCGGGGGGAGACCAGCGGGCGGGTGGGCGCTCCCTCCTGGAACTCATACACACACGTCCACTGCAGAGAGGAAGGAGAAAAGATGGAGGACGAGGTCAGTGTCACACCAAGATATCTTCATGATGATGTCACCGCTGAAAACACACAGGACGTTGGTCCAGATGCAACTCCGCCAGTGCACCACTAGGGGTCAACGGAGGTCATAAATTGCATATCTTGATCTGTTCTCTGTCTATTAAAGAAGAAGAGAGAGACATTTCTTTAAAGGAGCTCGGAGACAACGTGCTAATGTTTCTCACCTCCTGGTCGTCCATGTTGCTGGAGCAGCGGATGAGCGTGGCCCAGCCTTTGGGATGGAGCTGCAGGGAGGTGATGCAGTTCCCTCTGTCCCTCTCTCCTGGGATCTCTGGAGTCAAAACCTCCAGACTGTTCCGGGGAGACAGTCCTGGGAGAGAGAGAGGAAAGGGGTTTGAATATTTGATGGTGTAAAAACTCACTCGTTTCTCAGTTTTGTCTTCTTGATTGTCGAACCTTCTCTGTGAGGGTGGATCTTGCTGGAGTCATTTCCCTGGCGAGGAGTTCCAGCTGACCTGGATGCTGATGTGCCTCCATCTACAGGATCACAACAAGGATGAAAGTCATTCACAAAACTTCTGACGATTTTTAATTAAAAAAAAGAAATCCAAAAAGTGGCAAGGCCGTGGTCTGACCGGAGGTGAGGGGGGTCCGTCGAGCTCGCAGCATCCGGTAGCTGCCCACCTCCAGGGACTGAGTGAGGTCCAGGTCGTGGAGGATGAGCAGGTACCCCGAGGACGTGGAGATGAGCATCTTGGAACAGTCGGGCGTCAGACGCATCCTCATTAGATAACGAGTGTGGAAGAACTTTTTGTGCGGGCAGCCGTCCTCTGTAAACCTGCAGTGGAAACACATCACAGACGCTTTGGTCCAAATGATCCACTGAGAGATTTGTCTAAAATGAATCACAACTACAGTAACTTTGCATCGTTATCTTCAGTTGAATTAAAGCCAAAACACATATTTATGCACTTTCCAAGTTGTGAAGTTATAGTTTTAATTTGATGGAGAGATGAAGAAGGAGACAGTTAAAATGTGAGTGAGGCAGATTTGAGTTTTATGTGCAGCTGCTGGTGCAGAATGACGTAACCACTGGAGCAGGCCACGTCACAGGTGGTAAAACAGTTTTCTCTTCAGCATGATTGAGCGATTTGACTTCAAATCAGTATAACAATCATTTAAACTTTTATCTTGATTACGATTAGTGAATGATTAATTTGATCATTTCATTTTTCACCTTTGAACACTTTAACAGCAGCGTATGACGACCTACCTGTTAGTGTCCCATGTGATGACGTTGCCGTCGAAGCCTGACGTGACGAGGAGACGTGTGTTGGTGTCGTACTCGATGTTTTTCACCCAGCTGGCGTGGCCGTGCAGAGAGCAGACCTTTGTATTCAGCTTACGGAGATCCCACAATGCAATTGTGGTGTCGTCAGAGCAGGTGGCGAACAAACGATTGTCCAAAAACCTGCAGGGGCACCGACAGACTTTACTTTAGATTCTCAGCAGACGTGAATCTGGAATCCCTTGAGAAATAGAAACGGAGTGTTTCTGTAAACCATCCCCAGATTATTTGAAACAATAAAAATAAATACCTTATGTTGTTGACACAGTCCTCGTGGGCGTCCGTCAGGGTTCTGATGTGTCTGGATGAGATGGGATCAAACAGCAGGATCTCAGTCTGCTCGCAGGCCACAGTCAGCACAGACCTGCTCAGAGCAAACACACAATCAAACACACAATCAAACACACAATCCAACCATAAACATAGAAGACAGATTTATTAATTTGCAGTTTAAGATCGGCCAATATCAGCCTTTCACAGAAAAACCAGTGTGTTTATGTTTGCTGACGTAAACCGATATAAAAGCTGAATTAACACTTCAGAACACATGAGCATTTATATTATAATATTCAAATTCGATTCATTTGGTTTTAAAGGTGTTTTTCCATCAATTCATAGTTATTTAAAATAAAACGCAAGATTCAACCTGAATCAGGTTTCTTTGTCTTGAAGGTTTGATAGTAACATCTTAGGAATCATTCTCAGACATTCTTGGATTACGACACTTTGGATCAAGATCATCGATGCTGAATAAAATAACCGAATAAAAACTGTTTTCTCAGCTCAACATCGAATCAACTGGTAAAAGCAGTGAACCTGGATTTCTCTGAGAATCAGACGTGAACTCAGAGATGAGTGTGTGAGCAGCTCCTGATCCAGACTGGACTCAGCTTGACCTGGTTTGTCTGCAGGATTTATCTCCTGCTGTGTGTTAGGTGTGTTCATACAGAGAGAAGCTCTCAGGTTTATTCTAATGTTTTGGTCAGTTTGAAGATTGAATTGTTCCTTGACACAGTTTCTGTCTCATCACTTCTCCTGCACATGTGATGCTCGGACAGATTCAAGTGTGAGGATGAATAACAGCAACTCTCTCCAGCGGACTTCTCCACTGTTCCCCACATTTCATTCATTTCCCAGTACATCAGAGACCCGGTGGTCCTCCAGGCGAGAGGCCTCAAGCTGTCTTACCCGTCCGGGGAGTACTCCAGGTTGAACACGGCTCCGTGGGTCTGGGTGCTCAGGTTCACGGACTCCACCGCCGGGTTCATGGAGCAGTACAGACTGGTCATTGTCCTGAAGTTGTCTCTGGCTGGGTCTACAAACACCCCTCGTCTGATAGTCCTGCTCCGCAGCCAGTTGAACACACTGTCCCCCCCGACGCTCCCCGTCTGCGGCGCGGCGCTCGGCGGGCAGAGGGGCTCCTGCGCGCCGGGCGCCGGAGACGCTGCCCCGGCGCGCACCGCTCGCTCCGGCCGCTCCGCGCTGCTCTCGGGCGGAGGCGGTGCGACCTCCCGGGCGATGTCATCCTCCTCCCCGGAGTCGTCGACGCCGGGGTCCACGTCTTTGTCGCCGTCGGGCCTGTCCTGCGACTCGTCGGCGTCCTCGCTGGCGCCCTGGTGCTCCGAGCTCATTGTGGCCGCAGCCGTTCGTGTTTCGGGGCGCAGCGTCGCGGCTCAGCGGAGAACAGTGCACTGACTCCGGTCACCCACCGAGCATCAACCCGCGGCTTCCTCCGCTGCTTCAAGGCGCCATGACGCCGAATTAACCGCACGAGTTAAATCTCACAAATTATATTTTGATGCTTTATCGCCGCGCGTCAAGTTCCACTCACTCAGATGCAAGTGCCACCGGAAGCTTTCAGATTACACTTTCAACCTAGAAACTATTTCTTAAGAAAATGCCGCGCGTTGGACTTGAAAACAACAAAAACACACTAAACAGTGTTCAGTTGATTTTGAGTACGTTTCATTCAACTTTTTCCGGGTTGCGTTCCTTCTCAGGAAATCTGTTTTCACCCATGAATATTTTAATTTGAAGTTTGTCGGCGGAAGTTTGTTGTTTCCATTATAAATAACTTGATGATTTTCCTCTTCACCAAAACAAATGGGAAATAAAACGACATGACGTGTTTCCGCTTCCTGTCCCACTGGGAAGGAACACTGAGGTCGAGTGCTGCCACCTGCTGGAAGAACCGCGTAAGTTCATCTGTGCTTCACCTTATAATAAAACTAATAAT